TATATAAAAAAAAATATTAATTAAATGATTTTTAGGGCCTAAAGTTGGTTCAAACTCAAACTAGCTCAAAAGATAAACAATTTGGCTTGCTTGTTATTGCTAATTGAACCAGTCTATAGTGAAGAGTAAATGATATATTTTTCAATATTTATTATATTTGGTCTTTGAGGGGTCCTTTTTTTCTTTTCGCCCCGGGCCCTATATACGTTTGGACCGGCCCTGAGTGGAAGGTTGAAGTCGAGGAGTATCAAGTGAAGAACACTTGATGAACACACGGAAGCTCGGATGACCCTAAGAATGATTTTGGTGTTAAGATATGAGTCGATGATCCAAGAGTGTTATGAAAATATGGAATAACACTTGAGTTTAGATGGAATACTTACCAAAAAGTGCAGTAGCAACTCAAGAACACTAGCACAAGGTGGTGGGAAGTAGAGAGAAAAGAAGCTTTCTTGAGGTGGTATGAGAAGTGTGTAAGTGAAGGATTTGATCAAAGTGAACAAAGAAATCCTCCAGGGATTTCTTTATATAGAAGTTGCTAGAGCAAGTTGTGAGTTTGAAGTGATGTGTACCTTGGTTTGTGTGATGTGGATAAGGTGGCTAATGAGAGGATGACACATGGAGGCAAGTGGGCACACTTGACCCACTTGTGGGGTAGAATACTCATCTCAATATAAAATAATGATTTTAATTAATAGTCCTTGAAAAATAAATAAAATATGAGTTCTGGGGGTTAAAAATGGTAAAAATATGAATTTGGTGAAAAAATCCCGTCAAAAACGGGCTTAGGAAGCGAAAGTAGTCGAAAATCGGGCAATATAGACCGAACCTGCGAGGTTCGGCTCTAAGAGAGTGAGAACCGAGAGAAGGGAAACAAGGAGCCGAAGGTAGGGAAATGAAGCGAAGGTGCGAGGGGGCGAAATGGAGCGAAGGCGAAGGAAGAAGGGAAGCGAAGGCGAAGCTCGGTTCATTTCGGTTCGCATGGGTTCAGTCCGAGATGGCTAAGTTCGCTTCTGACAGCTCGGTTCGGTCCTGAGGGGACTTCGGTCCTATTAGAAGGGTTCGGTTCCTAAGAGGCTTCGGCCCTATTTTGCTATTTTTCCATTTAACTTCCCGTTTTGCGTGATTTTTGGCCAAGTTAAGGGTCGGGATGACCCGGATGACTATAAAAAGTTGAAGAGAATTTTGGGAGAGATTTCACATACTTGGAGAGATTTGGGAGAGATTTCACATACTTGGAGAGATTTGGGAGAGATTTAAGCTTAGCCATTATTATCGCATAATCTTGTAATGCAAGGTTCGTGAACCCCATTATGCTTCGTTTATGATTGTTTTATGTCCCCAAAAGGGTCCATAGTCGTGTTTTGATGCGTTTAACTCCCTTCTTAGGGTTTTCACATTGATAAACACATAGATTCTCCGAGACACTTGGATTCTTGACATACAAATGCACATTTTTATATATAGAATAACTTTTATCATAGAAGTACAAGTTAAGTTTGACCAGTTTGACTTGTTGACTTTGACTTTGGCTGGAATTTGACGGTTGTCACATCGGTTATGGTTCAGTTTTACATATTGGGTCAATTTCAGTTTTATGGGTCGGTTACAAAAGTCCAAACCGAATTTTTCAATTTTAAAATCCAAACCAAAAACCGATAGTTTGGGTTTAGTTATGGTTTTGTTAGTTTTTTATTTTAATTTTACTCGACCCTAATTAAAGCCCTTTCCTAATTTGAAACCGTCCAACTACATTGTCCTAAAGATATTTTGTTTTGTAACGTGCAAATAATATGTTGTATTTTTATCAAGGTTTGCGGTAAGTCAACTTTAAATAGTCAAATATATATATATATATATATATATATATATATATATATATATATATATAGATATATATATATCTATATATATATATATATATATATATATCTATATATAATATATATATATCATATATATAGAGAGAGAGAGAGGAGGTAGGTTCAAATGTTTCTCACATCTATTGTGTGCTAGAATGCACCAATAGGAATTTTGTATTAATTATGTGTATATTAAATGCTATCCATACTTATAACTTATTTTTTATGGAAACTAATTAAAGTCGTCATTAATGTCAACAATAATATTCTTTCAGAATGAATTCATATCTAAAAGAATGAGAATGTATTCCAGCAGAATGAGAGTTTATTCTAGTAGAATACACTCTCGTTCTTCATATTCCATGCAACTTTATTGTATTTTAAGTGAGTGAGTCCTGAAACAAAATACGAACTCATATATAAAACCTAGATGTGAATTCATTCTGAAAGAATGTTATTGTTGACATTAATGACGGATTTAATTAGTTTCCATAAAAAGAGAATTATAATTATGGATATCATTTAGTATACATATAATTATGGAAATCATGTAATATCTATATTTATTTAATTAAATAATTATTTAATTTACTAAATTCCTATTGGTGAATTCTAGCACACAATAAATGTAAGAAACAAAATAACTATATATATATATATATATATATATAATATATATATATATATATATATATATATTAATATATATAATATATGGAGAGAGAGAGAGAGAGATAGATTCAAATTTTTCTAGCAACTATTGTGTGCATGAATGCAACAATAGGAATTTAGGAATAATTAAATAATTAAAAATTATAATAAGGGTAATTATGTAAATTTAGCATGATAGTTAAAATAAAATCCCTTAATTCATGGAAATTACCATATTTAACCCTAGCTTCTCATATCATACGTATTCTATTTCTGTCTCCTCCCATTTTCTTATTGACGATGTCACGATGTGAATTGGAATCAAGGTGTCGAGGGTCTTCACCTGTTGCACTTTAAACGAATTTTAGGGCTTTTTCCAACCCGTTTTTTGTTTGATCGGGAAAAAGGGAAAAACACACAACGAGGCGATGAAAGATACACAAAGAAAAGCACGAGGCTGAATCATTAGGAGAAAAGGACTTCGATCCTCGTCTGATCGAGAAGGAGGCCCACAGTTGAGAACGACCGCAAGGTCGATCAATGGTCCATCCCCTATAAGATGCACATCCACCCCACTTTCAAATGTTTCATGAATCGATGCAGATTTTTTTGTTATGTGGTGCAATTTATGATTCTTGATCCAACTACAACCAAAGTCTAACCTATCAATTTTGCAACATGTAAGCTTCATCTAACCTATAAATTTTGCAAGAGCATCAATTACAGTCCATACGTTTTTCTTATTCTGATAGATTATTGTTTATTTCCACTTTTTTTTTCTTTCATTCTTTGTGTAGCAATGCTTGCCCGCCAACTGTTCGCTAAAATGGCTGAATGAAATTTTTTGTCCATTTCCATTGACTCTTCATCACTCTTTTACTTTAATTCAATTTTAGTATATTACAGATTGTCTGCACTCGATTTCTTAATTCAAGTTCAGTATAGTTGCATTTTATTTTTAAATGGGCATACAACTTAGATGATAAAAAATCTACATGCGATGTTTGATAGGCTCTCTTTGTGAGAACTTGTTTAGCTTTTTATAATATTTTTTATTTCATTATACTGTAAGCTGCTATTAAGTTCAAATTTATGACTGTGATTCCCCCTTTTCATTTTCCAGTTTAAAGGCCTGGGAGATTGTCTTAGAAGCAGATTATACTAAAAGGTGAGACTGAGTTTTTATGTCAATCGTATATGTGTATGCACATCTGATATAAAATACATCTTTGTAGTTATTCATTCAAAATACATCTTTGTGTTAACATGATCTTTTCCTGCATTTATATTTCAAATGTTTGTTCGTTGGGTATATTCTTGATAATACAAATTCTTTAAGAATATTCAAAACCATTATGCAAGAATAGTTTATTCTGTAAGAATATTATTGATGTATTCTGATAGAATTGTAGTTAATTAGTTATATGTTTAATGTGCAGTTGTTACAAGTGTGTCACTACAAAATATTTGGCAATGAATTTGTGATAGAAATGGCTTGAGAATGGCTTGAAGACCTGATGGGAAATGCTCCTTGTATAAAATCATTCTCATGCAATACAATTCTGACAGAATGTCAATCTCACAAAATGTCAATCTCACAGAATGCTAGCATATTTTGAAGTGGCTTAGAGGTCAAACATACACAAGAGATCTAGAAACGAAAGAAGAAAGTGAATGAGGATTCTTTCAAGAATACCGATATTTTTTTTTTTGCAAGAGATTTCAAGAATGAATGTGGTTTATGTTCATAGTTGTATTCTTTTAGAATGAATGTAATTAATTATTCTAAACTACTAAACTTCGTCTTATATAAAATTTGTATTCGTTAAAAATTATTGATCTTGATAATATGTGTTTATAATATTATGTTCATAACAGTATATCATTCTGACAGAATTACAGAATATCATTCTAACAAAATAACATTCTGATAGAATAAAATCGGTTTATGCTTACAAATTACGTTTGAAATTGAATTAATTTGAAAAAAAATCAGATTTTTTAAATTAAAATCATTAATTATCCCATAAATCTCAATTTTTCCTTTTTTAAATTTGTCTCAATTGACTAAAATGCCCTTATGCTGAAATTTATGTGATTATATGGTACATGTTACCCTATTGTAATATCATAGACCCTCAGATCATGACCTTTAATTCTATTCCATCCGATGGTCTAGATCTGTGCATTGTGACACACAATAGTTAGTGAAAACAAAATAACCTAAGACTACTATATATATAATATATTATATATATATATATATATATATATATAGATATATATGTTCAATTGAGAACATTTTTTAAATTCAGAACAAATGAGAACAAATCAGGACCACTAATTAAATCAAAACTAAAAAACACACCCTATTTATTCATTATTACCCCACCTACCTATTTTATAAAATATATTGTACTTATCTCTCTTTACCCTTTAACTACCATTCTGGTCATCAGACCACCGCACCACAACCCGAACCACCTCATGTCGCCGTCGGAATACCACCAGATTGTTGTCGGAAAACGACCAGAACACTGCCAGAATGACCGCAACACTATCGAAATGACGGAAACACCATCGGAACAACCGGAAGGCTACCGAAACACCATCAGAACTATCAGAACACTACCGAAACGACCGATACATCGTCAAAAAGTTGTCTCTTCACTATCTCCGGATCTTTTTGTCACTTCCTCAACTCACCTCCAGTCGTTCGCTCTTCGGAAACCACCTCCCTCCGCCTCTCCTCTTCCTGAACCACATCCTTGAACCTGGAAAAGCATATCGTAAGAAACTACCTTGTTAGATGCACCTCCTTATCTCTTCTCCGATCTAGCTTATTGGCCACCAGATCTGGTGTCACCAGGTCTAGATCTACAGTAAAATGCCACCGTTCACAAGTAAAGAAGATCGCTGGATGGTGATAACTCCGAGCACATCTCCAACCACCACTACAATGAAGGCTACGCGTTCTGGTTTCTAGCAAACAAGATCGGTGTATGGTTACAATTTCGAGCACATTTCTAACCACCACGGTGATGAAACCCAACTACTTTCTCAGTAAGCCTAGAACAAATAATTTATGCAAAATATTTTTTAATTGGTGATATTACAACACATTTAAAACTGAGTTAACATTTTGAAAGTCAAATAAATACAACTTTTATGAGTCTATGCTGCAAGTCTTCCTATATTTATGTAAAAAGTTGAAACATCATAATTTATTTGCAGTTGTCAAATCGTGCCAAATCCTTGTGTATCTTATTTAAACAAAATGCTTTTATATTTTAATATAGAAAAAACATCATAAATGGTCCCTGTGGTTTCCCAAAATCTGAAGTTTAATTCCCATGGTTTAAAAACATCACAGATGGTCCCTTTGCTTTCAAAACTTTTAACGATTGGTCCTTATTGCTAACTCCGTTAAGTTTATCCGTTAACTGCAGGACATTTTCGTAATTTCACTACCACAAGGACCATTTATGATGTTTTCTCTTATTCTATAAAAAAAAGAATAAAAAATAAAATAATATGCAAATGGTCTCTCTCTCTCTCTAAAAAAAATACCCCATCTGTATGTTTTTTAAACATAAATTTCCTCCAATGCCATCATACTTTATTATTCTTCATCTCTTTCTCTTTCTTTATCTCATTTTTGTTTCCTCCTCCTGATCTATATCTATAATATGTCAAATAATTTAGACTTAGAGCTCTAATTCTCCTTTCTCCCTCCAAAACCTGCAACATCGCCCTGACCTTCACCTCCAAATCCCTCCTGATTCCGACGATGACAACAAATAACACACTCCTGGCTCCAGCAGCGGTAGTGGGGATATAGCAGGTCACTGACCACTGGGTCGCCCTCCTGGTTCAAAAAACAAGCCAAATCCACCAGTATTAGCCTGACGAATAACCACAAGCCCATTAGGGTCCATCTTCATACAACCCCGAGTCGATTTCCCCAGCAATCCTAAATCCCACAGGCAAATCCGACATAAAAAACACTACCACCCCGTCATAAGCATTTACGTTATCAGTAATCCTCCCTAACGCACCTTTCATGACATCGTGCCCGAATAAGAATGGCATCTTTAGATTGTTACCTGTGAATCTTTGCAAAGGATCAATCTCTTTTCTGTCGATTTGCTCTTGGATTAGGTTATCGGTGAAAACCTGAAGGTTTAATGCAAATGATTTGTGGCGTTGCATTCTAGAGGGATATGAAACCCTAACCTCCTCCCTGTACCGGTGGTGGTGATGGTTCAGGGTCTCGTCGGAATCGAAGGTCATCTTGGAATGAATAACATCCACTTCTTATTTGGTACAACTTGAGGTTCTCGTCTTCATCTTCTTGTCTGTTGATTTCCTTTGTACAATGGTGGTGTTGGTGTTCTTGCTAAAACACTGGTGTCGACGGTAATGGATGAGGGAGAAAAGAGAACGAGCAGGTGGGTGGGGGGAAAAGGTTCACGTTGGGAGTGATGATTGTAATACGAGAGAGAAATAGAGAGAGAGAGAGAGAGAGAAGAGACTTTGCATATTTTTTAATTTTTTTTATAGAATAAGAGAAAACATCATAAATGGTCCTTGTGGTAGTGAAATGATGAAAATGCCCTTCAGTTAACGGAGAAAACTTAACGGAGTTAGTAATAAGGACCAATCGTCAAAAGTTTTGAAAGCACAGGGACCATCTATGATGTTTTAAACCACGGGGATTAAACTTCAGATTTTAGAAAACGGTAGGGACCATTTATGATGTTTTTTCTTTAGTATATTAATAGCTTAATTCTTTTAAAGTTTCATATTTAGATGTGCAACTATATAAGACGAAAAATATGGATATATCAATTTTATTTTAATACAGATTGTGTACACGTTTTTTTAGTAATATATAATAAAAAAAAGTTAATACTTGTTATTTGAATGAATTATTGATCTATGAAAATTAAATGATAGGATTTTGAGTTATTAATATAGTAATTAATATTGTTTTAGATGTTTTTATGGAGTATTATTATTACTATCAATTTTGATGCAAGATTGTAAATACTTACCGGTGAGTGATGTTATGATAAAAAAATATGTATGGGCTTTTAATTTATCAATGAAATGATAGGAATAACAATTTATTAATAGAAGAACAAAATAAATATAATTATATCTGATTAAATACATGAGCTAACTATTGAAACCAAAACATTATACTGAAAACATTAAAATCACATGTGATTAAATATATATAGCCACATGTGGGTTTAATCACATGTGATTATATGTATTTAATCACATATGATTTATTTGGAGAATATTTGTTTTCACGTTCTTCACTCAATAGTTGTTTTCGTTTATATAATCAGATGTGATTATATTTATTTATCTAGTCACATTTAATTCAATAATTATTTCATGTAAAAAACACATTTAATTATATGTATCGATATAAATCATATGTGTTTAGATACATATAATCACATATGATTTAATAATCGAGGACAACTATTGAATCGGAAACACAAAAATGAATCTTATCCATATAAATCATATGTGATCAAATACATGTAATCACATGTGATTATATGTATCTAATCACATATGATTTATTAATATTCATATTCACTTTCTCAATTCAATAATTGTTCTCGAGTATATATATTCATATGTGATTATATGTATCGAATCACATCTAATTTATATGCACACAAATAATTTGTTTCCATATAAATCATATGTGATCTGATACATATATAACCACATGTAGTTATATATACGAGAACAACTATTGAATCAACAACGTGAATACAAATCGTTAACCATATTAATATGGGATTAAAAACTTTTAATCACATGTGATAAAGTATATGAGAATAATTATTGAATTGAAACAAAAATAATATTATCCATATAAATCGTATGTGATTAGGTACATATATTCACATGTGACTATATGTATCTAATCACATATGACTTATGTAGATATGATTCATTTTCGCATTCTTGATTCAATAGTTGTTTTTAGCAACTTTAATCGTATGTAATTAAATAAAGTTAATCACATGTAATTATATGTATCTAAATACATATGGTTTATATGGAAGAAATCAGATATTTACTATATAAATCATATGTGATTAGATACATATAATCACATTAGATTATATACACGAGAACAACTATTAAAATAAGAACACGAATAAAATATTTTCCACATAAATCATATGCGATTAGATACATCTAATCACATGTGATTACACGTATTTAATCACATATGATTAGATTATATGTATCTAATCACATATGATTTATATGGATAATATATATATATATATATAGATATATATATATATATATATATATATAGATATATATATATATATATATAATATATAATATATATTTGCGTTTTTTATTCAATATTTGTTCTCATGTTTTTAATCACATGTGATTATATGTATCAAACCACAATTGATTTTTGAGCCCAAGATTGGTTCTTTTTTTCTTGATTCAAAAGTTGTTCTTTGACCGTATTAATCATATGTGATTAAATACATATAATCACATGTGATTAAATACACGAGAAAATTATTGAATCGAAAATTCGAAAATGAATATTGTCTATATAAATAATATGTGATTAGATACATATAATCACATACTGTTATATGTATTTAATCACATATGATTTATGTGATTATATTTATTTAAATACATGAGAACAACTATTAAGTTACATATGATTTATGTAGGTAAAATTCATTATCGTGTTCTCTATTCAATAATTGTTTTTTTTGTCAACTTTAATGATATGTGATTAAATACATCTAATCACATGTAATTATATGTATCTAATCACATATGATTTATACTGACAAAAGAATCCTGTTTATGTGATTTGATATATATAAAACATATGTGATTATATTCGGGAGAACAACTATTGAATCAAAAAACATTAAAACACATCTTTGTTCACATTAATCATATATGGTGGTGGCAGGTGGTGGAGATGATGGTACCGGGTGGTGAAGGTGGATAGTGGTGGTGTTCGATGCATGGGTAGTGGTGGTGGTGGGTAGTGATGATGGATGGGGGTGGAGAGTTGTGGAGGTAGGTGGTTTAGGTGGGTGCTGGTGGTTTTGGTGGGTGATGGGTGGTGGTGGTGGCGAGTGGTGGTGATGGGTGGTAGAGGCGGGTGGTGGTGATCGATGGTAGTGGATGGATAATGGTGTAAGTGGGTGGTGGTTAGTGGTAGTGGTGGGTGTTAGTAATGGTCGTAGGTGGTGGTTGGTGGTGGGGGTAATGGTGGTGGTTGGTGGTAGTGGTGGGTGTTGGTAATGTTGGTGGGTATTGATGCTTGGTGGTACCGGTGGGTGGTGAATGGTGATGATGGGTGGTGGTGATGGGTGGTGGTTAGTAGTGGGGTTGGTGGGTAGTGGTGGTGGAGGTAGGTCGTGGTGATGAGTGGTGGTAGTGATTGGTGGGTGATGGCGGTTGGTTGTTGGTGGTGCTAACGGTGTGTGGGGGTAATTTTGTGAGACCGTGAGACGCAATCATAGCCACTCATTTAGTAGATAAAAAAAACATTTTTAAAATGCAAAATAATTTAAAATTTTCGAAATTTTTTTTAATATTATTTTCGTCATTTATATTTTCCTAAAAAAAATAATAAATAAATAAATTACTGTTTTTTTGAAATATCTGCGAAATATTCCAGTAGAATATTAGAATATTCTAGTAGAATACTACAATATTTTACATATCTGTGAAATATT